GGATGCTGGGAGGTGTCCCTGGAATGAGCTTTGAGGTCCCTTCCCAGCCAAGGCAGTGCAGGATTCTGGGATTCAGGAGACTCAGAATCCATTGCCAGGGATTGGGATGGAAAATGGGGAGAGAAAAGAGAGGAGAAGGGAAGGGAGAGCCTTCATGGTTTGCTGAGATTCCAAGGGAAGGCCCTGGATCCATCAATTGCTTGGAGAGGAGATGGATCCAAGCTCAGCTTCCAGGAATCCCAAAATTCCTCATTCCAGCCCTTTTGGGATCTGTTCTCCCCCCACTCTGATTTTGAGCTCTGTGGGATGAATCCAACTCTGGCAGACAAAAAAAATTCCCTGCATTTCCTTTCCTCTGGAATAAAATGGAAAAGTGATTTTGGCTCCTCTGTGTTCTCATCTCCCTGCAAATCATCCTGGCACTGAGAATTCCCAATTTTCCAGTGGAATTTTTGCCTCTTTTATCCCTTCCCCTCTCTGCTTTGATCCCCCCCAAAGGAGCAGCTGAATCCTGAATTCTGAATCCTCAATCCTGAATCTTGAATTCTGAATCCTGAATTCTGAATCCTGAATTCTGAATTCTGAATTCTGAATCCTCAATCCTCAATCCTGAATCCTGAATCCTCAATCCTGAATCCTCAATCCTGAATCCTCAATCCTGAATCCTCAATCCTCAATCCTGAATTCTGAATCCTGAATCCTGAATTCTGAATTTTGAATTCTGAATCCTGAATTCTGAATCCTGAATCCTCAATCCTGAATTCTGAATCCTGAATCCTGAATTCTGAATCCTCAATCCTCAATCCTGAATTCTGAATTCTCAATCCTGAATTCTGAATTTTGAATCCTGAATCCTCAATCCTGAATCCTGAATTCTCAATCCTCAATCCTGAATCCTGAATATTTCACCCAAAATTCATTTTATTTTCCTGCCACAAATCCAATCCTGTGTTATTTGTGAATGCCTGGAATTGGATCAGGGAAAAAATTCCAAGTTTATTCAATTCCTGAGAAATTGCTGAAAAATATGAAGGAAAAAAATCCAAATTTGGAAAAAAGGAGAGGGAATCCAAACAACAGCCAACACGTGGAAAAACTGGGATTTTTTTCTCTTTATCCATCAGCTCCTGGAATTTTGGGATAGAATTTTGGGTTTTTTCCACAAATTCATTGGTGCTGAAATCCAAAATCCAGCTGAGCTCCAGCCAGGAGCTGCCTGGAATTTTGGGTTTTCCTGGAATTTTGTGTTTTCCTGGAATTCTGGGATTTTGTGTTTTTCTGGAATTCTGGAATTTTGTGTTTTCCTGGAATTCTGGGAAAACCCTTCCCCTTTGTGCTGCAAATGCTGGCAGGGATGGATAATTAATCTTCATTAATTAATCTTCATTAATTCTGGCTTGATAAGGATATTTCCTGATTTTAAGGAATTCTGATCCCAGATCAAAGTGCCAGAGTTTGATTTTTATTTTCATTTTTATTTTCATTTTCCTTTTTTTAAAATTTTTTATTTTTATTTTCACTTTTTATTTTCATTTTTATTTTTATTTGTATTTTTATTTTCATTTTTATTTTTTAGTTTCATTTTTATTTGTATTTCTATTTTTAGTTTCATTTTTATTTTCATTTTTTATTTTCATTTTTTATTTTTATTTTCATTTTTGTTTTTATTTTCATTTTTACTTTCATTTTTATTTTTAATTTCATTTTTAGTTTCATTTTTATTTGTATTTCTATTTTTAGTTTCATTTTTATTTTCATTTTTATTTTTATTTTCATTTTTGTTTTTATTTTCATTTTTGTTTTTATTTTCATTTTTACTTTCATTTTTATTTTTAATTTCATTTTTAGTTTCATTTTTATTTTTAGTTTCATTTTTATTTTTTATTTTTAGTTTCATTTTAATTTTAATTTTTAATTTTATTTTTATTTTTTTTCTCTATTTCTTCCAGGCAATCATCAAATATTTGCAGGACCAAGGAGTTCTGATCCTGCTCACATCCTCAGCCTTGGCACGAGAGGAGGGTAAGGCTGGGCTTGGCTTTGGGCTGGGCTTAATCCCTGCTGTGCTTGGGAGCTTTGGGAGCCTAAACTGGACCTGCTGTCTTCAACT